AACGGTGGTGTTGAATGGGGAAATTCTCTCACACATCATTCCTGCGTCGTACTTTGCACGGAAGAAGGTTTCAAACAAGTCACACCGCTCTTTGGGCCATTGGCGTGCTACGCAGTAATTAGCTCCCGGAACCAGGTCGATCTCGTGACGCACACCTCGTTCCGGAGGTAGGACCGACGGCGGGTCTTCGGATACGACGTCTTGAAATTCCTTTACCAAAGGATAGTAAGAATATGAGGGATTCTCCAGGATCGAAAATCTAGTTCGTGCGTTCAGCACCCTCATGGTGTCCTCCAAGACAGCTTCATCCAGAAGCGACGACGAGTTGATCTCCTTTTCCAGTCCTTGAAAGACCATTTCAGCCAAATTGCCATCCGTTAGACTCCGCCGAGCTCTTTGAGGGACATCTCGTCGATTCAAGAAGAGCATCCACCACAGGAATAGCCTCGAGGGTGACGTCGGCGTCTTCCTCCCCGTCATACCGTTGACAAGAGTGTATAGCCGTGCGCTATCCAGGTCCACAGAGACCCTCGGTACCGTGACACAATCCCCGGTGCTAAGCGAATAGTGACGATGTCACTCAACGCGCTTTCAGCGGCTCAGCATACAGCAGACTTCCTTCGATCATGGAGCGTCAAGCATAATTTCCCGACGCGCCGAAGTCGATCAGGATCTTCCAGAGCCTCTGAAAGCCCTTCACGGTTGCTTCCACGACCAGCAAGCCCGGATTGAATACACGTTCCGTGTCAAGAGAACACGGAACAAGTATTCAATCCGGAGTTGTTCATGGCTGGACCTTTCCTGACCTCTACCTCCTTGAGGCTCAACAGATCTCAGTTCCTCCCCAGCAGACTGCCCCGCGCCTATTAGTGGTGTCGTTTTCCCTTGCACAACGATGTGATCCACGCTCTAAGGGCCCAGCAGGGACTTCAGCTTAATAAGCCCGTCCTGCATGCCCTGGGGCAAATAGGAGTATCCCTCCATCCTCACAGACGATCAGGCGAAACGACTCAAGCGCAGATTTATCACGAGTGCTACTAAGTGCAGCGGGGATGCCATTGCACTTTGCTTTGAGGAAGCTTAGCTAAAAGCACCGACCTTTCCCCCAAAAACCAATACGAGTGTAGCAGATCGCAATCTGCTACCGTACTGAATCCTAAACCAAGGTACGACGCTCTTTCCTTGAAAATTGAAACTGTATTTAATTGTTTTGTTTGCGGCAGAGCCGCCTATATCTAAAACCCTAGGTTTCCCTAATTAATATAGCAAAGCCTAATTAATATAGTATTATGCAATACTACTGGCAATCCTTCCATGTGGTGGCTTCTTGTTACGGTGTAGCTACACCACTCTGTGATTATAAACCGTGGACGGTCGCACAAGGTTGTGCGACCCGCCCTTTCATACAAGGGTACGTGCAATTCCAGTTACAAGCACCATGATAAAGTATCATGACTAATTCTCGGTGTGGATTAAGCTGATGGTATTTCGAGCTGGAGAGGCTCATTTGACCCTTCAATAACTGGTCTAAAACACTGTGTATTGAAGGAACAGCAAATTTTATGATGTATCTTTTTTGCAGACTTCACTCTACAGAAAAAGATCAACCCATATTTTAGCGTAGCTGGCACTCAGTCCGGAGTCTTAGGAGCATCTATGTTTAATAATATCTGATTTTATCAAATCGAAATTGAGGACTCTAAGTTATATTTGGGTGAGTTGTAGCGCGGTAACCCTGTGGCACATGGAGAGCGTGGGGTATTTCCGATGATGAGTTCTGAACAGTCTGCATACTCTGCAAAATTAGAAAAGTGTATGCTCACAAATACGTTATCGAGCATGCCAATTAAGCTTTTGATCTAGGTGGTACCAAATATGAAAATTGACGCCCCAACGACCAGATGTGATTATTGCTCGCATGGTGTACCAGCCAACTTCAAACGATATTCAGTCACATAGGGTTTCGAAATATGATACAGTTACATGTTAAGTCTCCAGGAGGATTGGTCGCGAAGGTCGTATCATCTCAACACGATTGGCTGCATATTAGGCTCTTCTTTAGACGAAGCGTCAGTTTATCGTGCGAGCGATCTCCGAGCTACAACTTTACTCGACACCTTCTCAGATACCATGTTAAAATACAGCAAATCATATTCCTTGTGACTTGACTTTTGTTGAGGAGGTGCAATTCGCACAGCTTTCTCAGACTTTCTGCTTGAAGCCTAGGAGTCAAACAACTGATACTTCCATCAACCTTTTAATTTGGAAAATAGATATATTTGATCATAGCCCTATTATCTTCATTGAGAGTCTTGTAAAGTTAAGGCTCTCATTAAGACTTTCCTTAAAACACCTGGCTATTTCGAGTAATTTGATGATCGTCGCATCAAATACAGACAAAAATGCTAACTCGCAAGCAATAATCGGGATAGGGAAAAAAGAAGCTCGATTTGGGCGCCAGCGACGATTGATTGCTGACAAGCTAAGTATTACTTGGCTGCCGAACAGCACCGCGGTGTTATTAAGCGTACAAGTAATCGCGCTATGCGTGTAAATTTCACTCTTGACATTTAGATGGTCACGCTCTCGCACAAAACCAATTGAGTCACACTTGGAGCAGGCTCTATACCCCAGGGGGGCAAGATCAATCGAGCCCAACTTAAAGGAGTTAAGCGTGTAGCTCTGGATTTTTCTTCTCGATGAGATCGGTGTAATGAGCTTTGTGAAAAAAGTGACATGCTCTGTGGAGCATGCATTTGTTTAAGACACAGTACGTGATGTATGTGCGCAAGAATCGAGAATGCCAGTTGCACATGCTATTTTTCTCGTCTCTCGACGAAGACGTGTCACAAGCTGGTTCTGAATCTTTAGATTAAATTTGGGAATTTCAACTTGAGGCTCTGTCATGTTCGGGACTTGTATCCAAGACTTTGATCTGGCTGAAACGCCATGAGTGATGGATTGACTAAGGTTGGATTGCACCTCTCGTTTGCTGTTGAGCTTCGGTGGGTCATTAACCAACATCTACCAGGAAACATGGCACTTTGGGGTCTTGGCACAAAAGTGCGGCTACTTTGGTACAGAACTTTGAAATATCCGTTAACAAGTGGTAACGATATTGATAAGACGACTTGGATACAGCCTGAATAGCATAAAGGGGGGACTTCAAAGTATTTCGTGCTGCGACAAAAAAAGTATAGCCCAATCTCCTTCGGACTTTGCCATCGGCTGCACACTGCTACAAACAGACGCCGAAGGGCGAGATCGGGTGATCGCGTTCGAATCTTGGCAGCTTAGGGCTGCGGAGAGGAACTACCCAGTCCATGGCAAGGAATTACTTACGATGAAGTATGCACTAAGGGTGCACCTGCTTGGCCCAAAGGCGTTTGTGATTTAACGAGATCATGCTTCATTACGCAATGCGACTCAGTCGCCTCACCTCTCGCAGAAAAATGACCAGGTGGCTCTCATTCTTTGCAGAATATAACTTTAAGGTAAAGTATAAACCAAAAAAGCGGAATGCTTTGGCTGATGCGTTGTCACGCAGACAAGATTATGCACTTGCTCATGTCACGACTGTGACGTCGTTAGTGTCGGATTTGATCCGCGCTGCATACGCGGGTGATGATGTGTGTAACACTACTACAAGCTCTCGCGAGCAAGGAGTTTGGATACTCGGATACGAAATTGTCGACGCGTTTGCGTACACCGATAGTCGTTGAGTAACGGGTTGCTGTAATAAAGCACTTATTCAAAGGATACACACGATTGTGGTTCCTCATGATGAGGATTTGAGATACCGGATTCTCTATGAGGTTCACTAAGTGGTCATTTCGGTCGTGGCATGACGTACAGCTCGATTAGTTGCCAGTTGCCACTTTTTGGCGGCCCAAGCTGTACAAGTGGACGAGCACTTATGTGCGTACGTGTGGTAGGTGTCACAGGGTGAAACTCTCTCCGAATATGGCGGCGCCGCTGGCCTGTTTGTGGGTACCCTCCGGGTGCTGGCAGTCCATGACTATGAACTTTAAGGTTGATCAGCCGAAGGACTCGGCAAGCAACGCGGGTGTAGTGGCCTTTCTGGACCATGAGCACGATGGCTCATCTTGCGGCAGTGCCGGACACCATTGACGGTGTGGGTACATCGACGCTGCTTGTG